GTATATGGGGGGGGGGGGGCTAAAAAAAACCCCCCCCCCCCCCCACATGAATAAATATGGGGTATACATTTACAAAGAAAGTAAAATGGTAAATTACACAGAAAAATATTGCTTTGTTTCCAAATATTACACAATGTCCCATGATTTCCATCATCAGTCGTGTCGTCCAGCGTTGTAGATCCATCACCAGTCACAATACATGACGCTCCGTTGACCGGCACACATGGCGACCGGCACCATAACATCTCCCACCAATACTTCTGTCACAAATGATAGTTCCCCAGTGCACCCAGCGCCGGTGAACCTGGGTGATGTCATGACAATATCTGGTCAATGATGTCCCCGGGATCTCTGTTGGCTTGTTTACAATGAGATGCCGCCACTAAGTAAATGACTTCTGGGTGTGACAGGCTGGAGGTCCGGGCGGACGGGCAAACTTGGCCAAATCTGCCCACTAAGTTCACCCATTAGGTGATCTGAGAACAAGCTGTTCATCCCAAACCCGAAACCTATCCCTCACTGTGAACAATCCAGGCATGTAAAGTCCCCAGAGCATTGTCCTTACGGAGTAGCTGTTTTCTCTGGAAGTTCAGAAGTGTTGGTTATGTGTTTAGATGAAGCGCTGAGATCCTGAGCACTGCTGAATTGTGTTTTACTGGCTTAGCAGGACACCCCATCAGAATACATCATAGAGAGAGAACTTCCTGCATATCATAGATAAGCATGCATATAGAAAACTAGCATAGACTAGCGTTGCACTACAGCGCCATCTACAGCTCAAAGACATAACTACAGTATCTGCTGTTGCATTTCCAACAAGAAGATGGATGGCAGTCACTTTGAGGTTTTTTTTTTCCATTTTCATAGATTTCATTGTACATGAGACTGGGAAAATGTGAAGGAGGGTGGCGGAAGCACAGAAAACAGTCATATGTCTCCACTTGTCTTTTAAACCTCCTGGGTCCCTCTCCCACAGGGCTCTACTGGCTGGATTCTCAATCCTCTAATGCAGCTCCTCTATTGGTATCTCAGCCTTAGAATTCAGGGCAGGATGGCTCAGAAAGGTTCTTGTGTTGTGCCTGGCCAATCAGAGCCATCAATCCACTTTAGAGAGAGGAATGAATAGATTTGTAGGATTGGTTGCTATGGACATGTGACTGGAATAAGGAGCACAAAGTCAAACCTGGTATTTCATTTTCTTCTAGTTTCCCCTAAACTGTTATCGGTCATGGCCCCGGGCCGTGTCATCCATGATGAGCAGGTGACTCTGACCTGTCCAATCAACGCATTCAAACCGCGAGCTTTGACCATCACCTGGCTGAAGAAGGACCGGAACCAGCAAGAGACCGAACTGGTAACATGGACTCCTGCGGGCTCCACCACTCACAATGAGAAATATTCACACAATCTAAAGGGAGATGAACATGAGGATAAATCTTATAGTGTTCTCAGCGCTCTGACCATGAAAGCAACCGTGACAGACGATGACGGAGTGACCTATATCTGTAGAACCTTCCACCCTGCAACAAATCTCCGAGACCAAAGAGAGGAGACCATGAGAGTGACCGGTGAGTGAGGAAAGATATATAATGTATCAGATATGAGAGTTCTATATGTAGAGTGAAATGTATTGTCTGTTCTCTCTGTGTGCCTTCCATTACGTAGTGTCAGGCGGCCATTGTGACTGAACATGTCTCAGCAAATGTCTCACCAAGAACCAGAAGACTTTCCTCAGCTCTTCTGTCTCCCTAAGACCCACCAGTACAAAAGTCATAAATCCTGTAGCACTCCTTACGGGAAATCTCCAAAAAAGAGTAAATGGGTGCTTGAAATGACAGCGGATGGCGCCGCACACAAAACAGCTTAGAATGTAGATGTCACCAGCACACCAAAAGCTCATAAGTCAGTGCAAATCCATTTAATGATAGATGTCACTCAGAATATCAAGTGCTTTCGGGGCCGCACAGGGTCCCCTTCATCAGGCTCAGAGTAGACATGAAGAATAATGAGAAGGGTGAAGAGGCAGAAAGCAGGTAGGGGAGGAGAAGATGGAAGAGGCAGAAAGCGGGTAGGGGAGGAGAAGGGGGAAGAGGCAGAAAGCGGGTAGGGGAGGAGAAGGGGGAAGAGGCAGAAAGCGGGTAGGGGAGGAGAAGGGGGAAGAGGCATAAAGCGGGTAGGGGAGGAGAAGGGGAAGAGGCAGAAAGCGGGTAGGGGAGGAGAATGGGAAAGTGGCAGAAAGCGGGTAGGGGAGGAGAAGGGGAAGAGGCAGAAAGCGGGTAGGAGAGGAGAAGGGGGAAGAGGCTGATGGAAAGTATAACAGCGTTATCTTAGTACATCTCACCATATTCTGTCATTTCAGCGGTTCCGGTGCTGGACCCCATACTGAAGGTTCAGGAAGTTGTTCATGTCGGTGAGAAGCTGGATCTGTCCTGTAGGATTCATTCGTTTTATCCTCGGGACATACAAGTCACATGGTACACGGAGGATGACGTCATAATACCATCACAGACCACTGATCCCCTCCAGGAATATGGCCACCTGTGTCATGTCTCCAGTACTTCCAGTTACACCCCAACAATGGAGGATTTGGGGAAGAACGTCCGGTGTGAGGTTCGGCATGACAGTCTATGGAGACCAAAACACGCCATTCTGACTCTGACACATATAGGTGAGTTCTGGTCCATATTATAATAGTAAACCGTTCAGTGTCTCATAGGAACCAATAAGATGTTTTTTATCATTTGGATACTGAAGTCTGATTGGTTGATGTTTTCTGGGACATGTAGGAGAAGTTTGTCACTTTTCATGTCACACCTTCATCTCTACAATCATCTCTCTTTATATCTCTTATTGCTGCTGACCAATGCTGACCACGCCGGCTGGTTTCTGTCTGGTGGATCCCGTCCATGGGTCAGGGAGGAAGCTCAGCACAGAATCTGGCCAGGACCTCCTAGAGGGAGAAGGAAGCCACTCAGGGACTGACAGCCAATGAACAGTTGGTTTCTACCCGTCACGGTGTAATCCAAATCACACTTCTATAGAGGAGCTCCTCTGTGTGTACATTACATTCATCTCCTCTCCATAGACTTCTATGGGGCCTCCATACATGACGGATTGATGGGCAGCTCATGGACACTCCCCATCTTCCTATGAGGAGTAATGGAGAATTTCAGTATCTGAAAGGGAATCAAACAATCTACCAGTGTGAGAACCATCTGATGGAAACTGTCATTCTCTGACTTGGGGGCTTCTAGAAATCTGTAATATGATAGTCCTGGCACCCCAGCGCAGCTCTGGCAGTTTCCATCTACGGTTTCTCATGCAGGTATTTGGTTGGCTCTGTTCAGTCTATACAGGTAGCAGGACTAGCGGAATAAACCTTGTGACCGGAGCTGTCAGGGCGGGTGTCCTGCTCCTTATATTCAGCATAATATTGAGGAGAAATATTCAAAATCTGTGTTATCTCTAAGAAGGTTATTCACTATAGCTGATGAACCCCAATAAACAAACCCCAAAAGCTGTTCTCCTGAACATGCATCACACCCGGGACATGGCACTCGGAATGTCTTTTTCTGATTGGCTGAGGAGGAGAGGAGGGGCATTAGAGAGGACGGAGATGACATCAGGATCTGTCTTGTCCAATCAGAGAACGCCTTGCTATTCACCAAAGACATACAAGACACTCTGTGATTGGTGGAGGTGCTGAGCGGTGACCTCCAGTGTTCAGGATGCAGACAGCGGGTCACCTGAGATCAGCATGGACTGGGTGTAGCTCAGGCTATGAGAGGGAAATTCGGCATCCCCGGCGTCCCTCTGGATGTGAGATATAAACCATTAGATGGAACCAATGTACGTTTAATAACAGAGAGATAATATCTGGAGTTCCCGCAGCTTTACAAATGTCAAAACATAGTTCCAAAATCCCCGAACTCCCCATTCTCCAAACCTCCTCCCATCCCCCATCCCCCCAATTACTCCTAAAGTATTATGCGGGCGTTGGACTAGACAGACAAATAGAAAAAGGTCAGCAGTGTATCCCCAGCGCCAGTCCATGGACCTATGGAGGGAGCAGTGTTGGGGTGAGGAATAGTGTTGGGGGGTGTTGGCAGTAAGAAGAAGTATTGGGGTGTTGGTGGTGTGGAAGGGGAGGAAAGTTGGGGCGTCTTCA